GTTGGGGACAGGGACACAGGGATAGGGAGGACATAGGGGACAGGGAATGGGGACAGGGACATGGGGACAGGGGGGACAGGATGGGGACATGAGGCACAGGGGATGGGGACAGGGATGGGGGGACATGGGCACAGGGGCGATACGGGGGACAGGATGGGGACACAGGGAGATGGGGACAGGGACATGGGCGATATGGGATGGGGACAGAGGGATGGGGGGGACATGGGGGACGGCATGGGGACAGGGACATGAGCGATATGGGATGGGGACAGGATGGGGACACAGGCATAGGGGGGACAGGATGGGGACGGGGACGTGGGGATGGGATGGGGTGACATGGGGGACAGGGACACGGGGACATGGGGGACAGGATGGGATGGGGATGGGGACATGGGACGTGGGGGACAGGATGAGGAGGGGCACATGGGACAGGATGGGGACACAGGGACGGGGGACGCGGGATGGGATGATGGAGGTCAGGACGGGGATGGGGACAAGGACATGGGACATGGGACGTGGGGGACAGAGGGGCACATGGATGGGGACAAGGGGAACAAGAGATGGGGATGGGGACACGGGGACATGGGGGATGGGACAGGGGATGGGGACACAGGGGACAGGGTGGGGTGATGGAGATGTGAGGACATGGGGGACAGGGGACAAGGACGCTGGGGACAGAACATGGGGACACGGGGATGCGGGGGCGGGCACAGGGACGTGGGGGACATAAGGTCGTGGGGGGCAGAAGGATGGGGGACACGGGGACAGGGGCGCAGGGACACGGGCAGGGTGCTGGGGACACCCCATGTCCCTGTGTCCCCATGTCCTAACATCCCCTGTCCCCAGCCACGCCGGCGCCCAGCGAGCGCGGGGACGGGCCAGGGCCACCCCCGGACAGGGACGACGGTGACACCAGGGACGAGAAGGAGCCCAAAGGCCCCGAGAAGATGGAGACGGAGGTCGGTGACAGGGTTGTCCCCAACTCTGTCCTCTCTGTCCCTAGTGATGTCCTCCCTGTCCCCAGTCATGTCCTCCCTGTCCCCATAACTGTCCCCCATCGTGTCCTCCCTGTCCCCATCCCTGTCGCCAGTTGTGCCCTCCCTGTCCCCATCCTTGTCCCAAATCGTGTCCTCCCTGTCCCCGTCCCTGTCGCCAGTTGTGCCCTCCCTGTCCCCATCCTTGTCCCCAGTCACGTTCTCCTTGTCCCCAACTCTGTCCCCGTCCCTGTCCCCATAACTGTCCCCCATCGTGTCCTCCCTGTCCCCAACCCTGTCACCAGTTGTGCCCTCCCTGTCCCTCCCAGTCATGTTCTCCTTGTCCCCAACTCTGTCCCCGTCCCTGTCCCCATAACTGTCCCCCATCGTGTCCTCCCTGTCCCCATCCCTGTCCCCAGTCACGTTCTTGTCCCCAACTCTGTCCCAACCCTGTCCCCACCCCATCCCCGCTCATGTCCCCAGCCCTGTCCTCCTCCCCATCCTTGTCCCCAACCCTGTCTCTGTCCCCAACGCTGTCGTCACCCTCCTGTCCTTGTCCCTGTCCCCTCCCTGTCCTCTTCCCCCCCCCGACCCTGTGTCCCATCCTGTCCTCCCTGTCCCCGTCCCTGTCCCCT